GGGGGGGGACAAGGCCCCCGCCACCTGTGGGACCCCCTCCGGCGGGCCCCGCCTCTGACGGGGATTCCTACAGGGCCTCCCGCCAGACGAAGCCGAAGGCCGCTTCGCAGGCACCCCCGAAGGGTCCCTACTGGGGCTCCCTTTGCGGCGCTGAGCCCAAGGGGTCAATTCCGGGCTGAGGCGCTCCGGCAGCCAGGACCGCCGAGCACGTCCCGACATCCTAGGAACTGGAGGGGGGGAGGAATAACCCCCCGAGGGCAGCTGACACCTGGGCCTGAACCCAGTCAGCCCCCTGAGAAGCCGCAGCCTCCCTCAGCTGGGATACCAGCCGCTCAATATCGCACATGGCCAGGGGATACAGAAACAGGGAACAATACCTCCAAGTTCTTCCTCTGTTGCCGGACTCCCAACTGAAATTCCGGACTCCTCCTTCCTGGCTAACTTCCTGAAGCCCCTCCTGGACCACCCCTTCATCCAATCACGTAAGTGACCCTTCTATACCCTTTTCTATCTCTCTTTAACCGTTTCCCATCCTTGTTCCCCTTCCCAGCCTTGTTATGCAGGCCTTCCGCTCATTCCTCTGCTATCCATACCTCCAGGCCTTACGATAGCCTCCAATCTCCATCGACCTATAGGCCTCCTCAGTATAAGGTGTCAATGCCAGGATTGTGTTGACCAAAAAAAGAAAGCCAACACGTACCATCCAAACAGAGTATGATTTATTAAAAGAAAATTACTCACATAAAAGCAGTGGTAACAAGGCATGGCTCTCTCTTAAAGGCCGTGACACACTGCACGCGAAGCCGTGCAGAGCGAAGCAAAGCTCTCCAGCACGGAGCTTCGCGTGCAGTGTGTGAGCTGAGTACAGTCAGATGAATGACTGCACCTTGAGCCAATCGGCTCGTCTGTAACAACCGGCCAGACGTCGCATCCCGTCGCGGCGGTTTATACGCGCGAGCCGATTGGCTGAAGTTGAAATGGTTCATCTCGGCACGCTCAGCTCTGCGAGGTCTCGCAAGCTGAGGTGCCGAGAAGAAAGTGACATGACACACTGCTCGCAAAGCTCGATTGGAGCTGAGGGCCCCCTCCCCTGGTTAAGAAGGGAATTGCCTGATTTGACCTCTTGCTGGGGTCTATCAATAAGGTGAGCACCCCTATATCTGGTGTGGTGCATTTGGTGAAGGAACAAGAAATATTCATCACTATTGCTATATTTGGACATTTTTGCAGATTTATGAAGATTTAAAGACTTTACACCTGATTGATTTTTTTCACTGACATTTGCTTGAGTCACTGTTTTTTTT